ACTCTGGGAAAAAAATACCACATTGTCCAACTTGTCTTTTACTTCTAAATAACTGAAATCCTACCTGGGAGGAGAAAAATCACAAGGAAGGTTGGTTCTGCTTCTCATGAGCAAAACTTAGTCCCTGAGCAGCAGATACACTGGGGGCCAATAGAGGTTTAAGCCCCCCTGGACCCGTGTCCAGGCATGCTGCCGTCACTGGGAAGATGTCACAGGGGGCTGGAGCTGGACCCTCTGCCCTCTGCAGAGAAGAACGGACTTGCGACAGCAATTTCAAAACACCAAAAGAAAACACTTGCAATATTTGTTTAAAGCAGGTGAAAATTATCTGTGCCGGCCCTGGCCAGCTTGTGCTAGCTATGTTAAGAGAAAGTTCACCTGTGCCTGTGCCACAACCAGCACCAACATGAGTGGGGCGTGCAGGGCTGTGGGCGCAGGTGAATCCCTGGACTCAGCCTTTTATGGACGGTTTGGGTCAGCCAGACAGTTCTGCAGCACTGAAGGGCCAGGCCCTTCTCTTCACCCGTCTCTGCGAGTGTGATGCTGGAGGTGTGGGTGCTGGAGGAAACTACAGTTGAACCCCTGGCGAACAAAAGAGGAGAGGAATTAAAATTCAAATACCCAGGGGGGGCAAGAGCCAAAAAAGAAGGATGTGAAGCAAGGAAGCCTGGGGCGAATGCAGCCAGGCCAGGTCAACCTCCGGGTCCATCCCGTCCCGCCGGCCCCTGGGCACCACACCGCTGCCTGTTTCGGGGGAAGCCAGGGCGCTCGGCAGTGGCACGGGGAGTCCTGGCTGCAGGCAGGGAGAAGGAGGAAAGCTAACAAAGAAACCTCCCTCCTCCCTCCCCCAAGAGCGGAGGGGAAGCCTCTGGCAAAGGCAGCCATGCAGGCAGGGAACACCGCTTCCCGCTGGGCAGCCAAAGCTCGTTAGGCTGGAAGCAGCGACTGGCCGCCCCAGCTCTCCAGCACTGCTCCTGCCAGCCATGCCCGCGCCTGCTGCCTGCAACACGGCTGACAGCAGGGGTTTGTTTCGCATGGGTGCCAAAGGACGCCCGAGCACCCTCCATCGCTCAGGGAGAGAGGTTTAGCGGGCGCGGGGGCCACGGGCAGCGCCATGGAGGATGCCGAAGCAGGCGGCACCCAGGGAGCAGAAGGGCAGAGCTCTCCCTCGCGCTGTCCCCAGCGGGGCCTTCGCAGCCCCCACCGTGTCGCGGCCCCCTGGCCCACCGGCTGGGCAGAGCACAGGCAACCCGGCAGACAAGCAGCGCCGCGCCACGACGCGCCCGCTGTGTTGGTTACAGCTGCGCCGTGCGCTGATGTTTATACGTTTGTGGGTTGATTATTGGGAAGATTTTGACATCAATTTGGCAAGGCACCAGAATTAGACCCTACCATGTGTCGTACAACAAAATCATGGAACACAATAATCAGGCACAGGTTTAAAAAAGAAGGGTCAAAGTCAGGCCTTATCTCCTAAATTTTGAAAATATCATTTTGTCAGGAAAAAAAAAATCAATTTCTCATCTTTCCTCTGTCAACTTAAAGAGAGCATAATGGATCGAAATGATGGGTGCAGCCCAGCCCTCCGAAGGCACTGCCAAATGCCCCGTCCACCCGCACACCCCCTGCGCCAGCCCGCAGCCCCGCTGCGGCCGGCACACGGCAGCTCTGCTCCCTGCTGCTGGGACACCGCGCTTCTGTCACTCTGCCGCAGCCGGGAACTTTGTCTCGTGCCCACCGGCACAGACCCCACTAAAGCCAAGTACCACCCCAGCTAACAAAAAGGGGGGCTAGGTGCCTGCTGAGAGAGCTGAATGCAGCTGGCTTTTCTGAAAGAAAAGGGGATCAATACACAATCAAGTAAAACAGTGCAGTTCATTTTTTGTTCAACAAAAAGTTGTATTTCATTTAAGTTATGAAACGTGTTAGAAGATCTCTGCAAACCTATGGAGCTAAGATTCAAAGTATGATTAATCTTAATTTTTAGGTAACATTTCCCATTCTGTAAGAGGGTACTGGCAGCTCCTAGGAACGGCAGGAGGGGATGGAGTTGAGTATCTAAAAAAGCATGTCCTGCTACCAGCTCACACTTGCGTGACACAGTTTGAGCAGGGGCTGGAGTGCCTGGTCTCCAGAGATACCTTCCAACCTCAGCTCTTCTGGGAAAGGGGAAGGGAAAAGAAAAGAAAAAGGAGGAAAGGGACCCCAGCACATCTGCAGCATCTGGCTCCCATCCAGGTCTGCCCACCCACTCCCCTCTCCGCTTGCCCACCGTGGCAAGCCTCCAGAGGGCTGCACTTGCCTCTTTTTTCCCCAAATCAACTGCAACTTTTGCCTTCCTTTAGGAAGGACAAAAAGATTTCACACATAACTTGCCCTGAACAAAGGCACCTCACGCCAGGGCTTGCTTTTTCTTCTTCCTTCCTTTCTTCTTTTCCACCCCAGGCTGACAATGGCAGGGGTAGCTGGGGTGGGGGGAGCTTCATTTTATACCCACTTAGTGCTGAAAAGCAGCTTGGAAAATACCGTGAGCTCCAGAGATGCATAGCGATGGCAGCATGGAGAGAAATGGACCGTTAGCCTTTGGGATCCATAGTGGAAATCTGTAGGGAAACTGGGTGCTATCATATGTGATCTGTTTGTAAGGAGACTCTGAGTGCCCTAGAGAGGGGCCTGGTAATGCATCATGTCTTACCTCGGAAAAATATAAAATACAGCCATTTTTGGACTGGACTCAGTCATTTTCACTCACCAGCTGCATTTCTTTACAAGCCCTGCAGTATTTCTGCATGTCCCAAAGCAGAGGGATGCCCAGCACCCGTCCCTGCCTGTACCTGGGCTCAGGCGGGTTGGCTCGGCACGCTGCCCACACCACCCTGCCCACCCCACCCTGCCCACACCGCACTGCCCACGGCTGCCCACAGCCCCCCGCCATGCCACTCCTGTGCACCTCTGCCCCTTGGCAGAGAATTTTTCTCCCCAGTGTCCAACACAGGCTGAACTCTTGCTATCAAAAAGGTGACATTTCTCCCCATTTTCCCCCATTTGGTTACCGGAGAGACACAGTGGGGGTGGGACCTTTACAAACGCAGAGATGGTTATCGGGGCCCGAGATAAGGATGACATAAAATGCAAGGACGCGGCTGCTTGGAGCTGCCGTCGCTGCGTTACTGATTAAATGGGGGGGGCAGTGGAGGGAACCGCACGGCTGGGAGCAGCCGCATGGCCTGGCACGGCACGGCAGAGTACAGCCCAACAGTCAGGCACAGCATGGCACGGCATGGCAGAGGCTGGCACAGCCTGGCATGGTGCGGCACAGTCCGGCACGGCACAGCCTGGCATGGCATGGCACGGCCCAACACTTATTGACGAGGGTCCCCTGCAGTGGGGCGCGCGGAGGGCACAAGGCCTGGTCAGAGCCGGTGGGTCCCCGCTTGCCAGCTCCGTGCCAGGGGCTCCTGTCCCCAGGGGCCCTGCTCCCACTGGGTGACCCCCACCCACCTCCTCGCCTGCCTGCACGGCTGCCTGCCCACCTCCTTGGCTGCTCACCTGCCTCTTTGTGCCTCACCTGCCTGCCTGATTCCATCCCTCCTGCCTCTCCCTACGGACCCCGCAGTGCCGACACCGCGCCATGTGCCGAGGCTCCGGCCGCGCTCGAGGCCCCTCTGGGAACCCGTGGGCCGTTCCCCACCACTGCCTCCCCTCCCAGCGCAGCACCCGTTCCCCACCTCTTCCCGGGGCTCTGCCGGGCAGGACGGCGATGGGGTCCCCCCACGCAGCAGCATATTTCGGGGGTCTTTGGAGCCGAGAGACGGGCGCAGCTCAGAGCAAAGCTGGCTGCCAGTAAGGCACGGTGGCTCTCGTGGCTCACAGCTCCGAATCGATGGCCTTGCAGTTGCACAGCAGATGGTTTTGGCAAGGGCAAACATGAAATAGTTCAAACCCTCTCGCTGCGATGACGCCGGTTTGTGCCGCTGGGCTCAGCCTCCTCGGAGCAGAGGTGTGCTGCTGCCCCTTCCAGCTGCAGAGGCTCAGGGCCGGCCTGGGGAACCGACGCTCCCTCAGAAAGAGGGAAGGCACGTACGCCTGTGTGTATGGTGGGGCGTGTGGGCATTAGTGAAAGGAATCACGCACTTGGGTGAAAGCGGACTGCCGTGGGGGCACGGACTTCTCTTGTGACCGTACCAGTTCATTTACTGCTCTATGTTCGTGATACATTCTTACCGACCCGTACTTTCTGCCATATTCAACGCAACTAATAACGCAGATCGACAGGGCGCCTTGGTGTAAAACAGCAAAGGGGCAGGCAGAAGAGCGCGGCTGCCGTCAGCCCGGTCCGGCCGTGCCGAGCGGGATCCCCGGGGATCCCCGGCAGGCTGCGGGGGCTGGGTTGCCCGCGCTGCCCGGGCTGCTCCGCCGGGGGAGTGCCGAGCCAGCCAGAGCACCGGGGGAGCCGGGACCCGCTGCCG